GCGACCACCTCTCTCAGCAAGGCAGGGTTTGGCCTCTTGGCCTGACCTTGCTCCCTAGTCCCACCCTATACTAATAGGTCCTAACCTTTATGCGCTTTGAGCCTGGACCATTGCCCCTTCAAGAGATTCCGCTGGATAAAGAAAAATTATAAAAGCTGGATCAAGCTTGGCGTCGGACGTCTGGCCCTCAGCCTGTCCCCACCCTAAAGAACTGGTCTGCCCACCCTCGCGTCCTATGGCGCCCTCGCCGGGAAGCAGAAAGTTGCACTGCACACTGAGCATTTCTTCGAGCGCTCTGCCAGGAGCTGCCGAGCCCCGGCACGCAGCCTTGGGCACCTGGTGGCCTGCGAAGAAACCTGCCCCATTGAGCTGCTTGGGCCGCACTAGCGGAGACGAGAGTGCGTGTGGCAGTGGCCCACGAGCACCACGCGCCAGGGTTTAGCAGCGCCTGGGACACTACCCTCTTCCCAGTCGTTTCCTTCGTGCCGGAGCTGGGCACGCTCCGGTGTCCAGCATTCTCACATTCAATCATTCATTCTCCCTCTGAAAGTTCTCATTAAGTTCTCAGGCTCCTTTCCTCATGGGTCATCTCCTGGACCTGAGGCGCCTGTGAACCTTGCGGGTCACCAGATCATTTTATGGTCTCCCTCTTCTCCCACTGAATCATCGGCCGGGCCAGTCTTCTGGCTACGGCCGGAGTCATCGCACTGACACAGGTGGCCTTTGATTTATTCCACATATGCTCATTGAGCTTCTACTACGTGCCGTTCCGAGTGTTGGCGCTACAGCAACGAAGCAGACCAAAGTCCTTGCCCTGGCAGAGCTGATGGTCCAGAAAATAGCAAAAAATAATATATAAATGCACCCTGCCAGGAGATTGGTTTTAAAACTGAGGCTTAGCTCTGGAGAAGCTTGGAGGACCGTGAGTAGGGGGGCCGGAAAGGCTGGGGTGCAGCTGACATTTCAGCAGGAGAGGTCTGGGCCGGCTCTACCGAGCTGTAGCTTCTTCCCTTCCAGTGATTGCGGCTCCCAAATCCAGGATGGACCCAAGCCTCTTCATCTAGCCACCATCTACTGAAAATTTGCATTTTTATTTGATAGAAAATGACAGCTCACCTTCTTGGTGTCCAAATCCCCCACTCTAAGGGACATGTCACTCTCATTTTCCATACAAGAGGAAACTCCCTCCAAGGCAGGGGAGATGTTGGGAAAGCTAGGAGTGCCCTGCTCCAAAAGGTGGGGGCAAGTCTGTGTGTTCCTCCTGGGTGATTTGGAGGAGCTGCTATACCACATTGGCAGTGGGAGGGGAGTGGAAGACCCCTCTTTCTAGAGAATCCAGGGGAGCCCCAAACCCTAAAGAACCAGTCATCATTCCTTGGCTGGTAGTTTTGTGAGATAAATGGAAAATAAACCAGCGAGAGGAATTTGGGAGGAAATATTTTTCACAGGGCTCCATAAGTTATTAGTACAAATTCTTTGAATACATTGTTGAAAGCCTTAGAAGTTTGAAACCAAGGAATGCAACAGATGAAGTGAAGGCAACAGCATGTGGCCCTGCAGTAGAGGCTTGAAAAGAGACCATGGGACTTGACTTTCCTTTCCCTCCCTTCCCCTCCCCTGCCCTCCCCTCCCCTCCCCTCTCCTCCCCTCTCCTCTCTTTCCCCTCCCCTCCCCTTTCTTTCTTTCTCTCTCTCTCTTTCTCTCTCTTTCTTTCTTTCTCCTTCCTTCCTTTTCTTGTTCTTGTTGTTCTTCTACCTCTCTCTCTCTCTCTCTCTCTGTCTCTCTCTCTCTCTGCCTCCCTCCCTCTCTCTTTTTCTTTCTTGAGATGGAGTCTCAAGGTGGTCTTAAACTCTTGGTTTCAAGCCATTCTCCCACCTTGGGCTCCCAAAGCCACTGTGATTATAAGAATGAGCCACTATGCCCACCTGACATTACACTACAGATTTCTCTATAGTGCTTCACAGTCAGAGAGTAGTTCTTACTTATCACAAGAACCACTGATAAAGTAAAACCTACCAATACATAACTTAGAGCTGCTCAGCAGAGAAGTAAACAGAAACCTTCCACTTGGAAGAGGTGAGAAGGCCCACGTTGAAAAGGAATCTTCATGGCATCTCCAAACCTAATCTTCATATCTTCAAAGCAATCCAAAAAGGTTCTCAGAAAGACCAGGTACCTCTGTCATAATGGGGACATGAGAATCATGCCTGTAATAGAAGCGATTATCTCTGGTCTGTCAGTACAAGGTCACATGATGGGGGCTTTGCTTCACTCTTCTGCTTGGTGAAGCAGTTTGACTTTCAGAAGAGCAAACTGTGTGAGTTTCACTGGGGGAGGTTGACTCAGAAGGGCAGGAGCCAGACCAAGGGACATTCAAAAGCAGAGTGGCAGAAAAAAATTAGAAGTTTTCCAAGCTCAAAAAGCAGGAAAGTCCTAGGAATGGATGGTCTTAGAGACAGAAAAAAGGAAAAGTTCCTGGAAAAGAGAGGCTTGCTCCAAACTGAAAAGAACGCTGGAAGAAGAGAGAGAAATAGAGGGAGGCATCAAACATCAGAATATGATTACTAAGGTATTTGTGATAAAATGAACCCTAACTGATGTTCTGCATGCAATCAAGGTGGTATTACACTAGGCAACAATGAATGACCCATTTCCAATTTGAAGGACACATTTGCAGTGGGAGAATTGATCTGCATCCCCAATTCCCTCTTCCCTTATAGGGGAGATTCTTGTATACTTGAGAGCAGCAGAATGTAGGTGGTTGATGTAGGGGAAAAGACATTAGAAAGGACAATGCAATAGTTATGATCCTACCATGAGCTAGACAAATTACATATACCCTTACTTAGTACTGATTTGAGAAAAATCCTATTTGGTTTGCTACCAATATTTTAAAATAAATAGAATTTGGACTTTGCCTGCTCAAATCTTTCAAAAGTGCAGAAAGATAGGGGAAAAGGTGAATGTAAATAAAACAAATACTTGGAATAAACCCTTTTAAAGTAGAAGTCACCCAAGTGTCCGGATGGGGACATCAGGGAAGAGGATGCCACCATGCCCTGCTTAGCATTACAAACTGCTAAGCCATCTCACCTTCCACCTGTCACAGTCTCTGTCCTGGGAATCAGTTGACACTCTCCATGAGATTTCTCAGAGGACATGTTCAGTGTCTTGGCGTGGGCAACATGAGAGCTAGGAGGGCCTGCTGTTTCTTGGTCCTGTTGCATGGGGTCTCCATCCAAATAAGCTGAATAAGCTATCTTAGGAGAGCCAAGGAAATCCACAGGTGGTGAAGTCAGTACTTGATCACCGTGAATCATAATAGTATATGTTAATTGAGTGTTTAATATATAATGGCACTGTTCTCACTATATTACAAAGATTCATCTATTTATTGCTCAAATCAATTAGGTTATATCTAGTCAAAATGAGGAAAAAGAGGTACTGAGAGGTTAATTAACTTGCCCAAGGTCACACAGCTAGGAAGCTGCTGTGTTAGGGTTGAAATCGGGACAAGGTTACATTGCCAGTCCTGGTCCTTTAAAAGTCCCAGTTTTCTGCTACTTTGATCAGCCCCAGAAGGCACGAGGTCTAGAAGCTACCTAAATACTTAATCTTTCATTGTTTGCCTTGTTCTGGCAGTAAGTAAATGTCAACAAAAGTTACCTTTAATGCCTTCAGGAGGCAGCAAACTAACTTATCTCAACTGAAAATAATTTTTACTTCACCTCATTTCCCTTTTAAAATACATCCAATAATCCCACTTTAAAGTGCTTGCTTATTTGGATTGATTGATTGAGACAGGGTCTTGCTCTGTCACCCAGGCTGGAGTGCAGTGGCTGGATAGTAACTCACTGCAGCCTCGAAATCCTAGCTCAAGCCATCTAGGTAGCTGGGACTACAGACGTGTGCCACCATGCCCAGCTAATTTTTGTATTTTTTGTTAGAGGATCACACCGTGTTGCCTAGGCTAGTCTGGAACTCCTGGCCTCAAGCTATCCTCGGGTCTCGGACTCCCAAAGTGTTGGGATTACAGGTGTGAGCCACTGCTCCTTGCCTAAAGTGTGTGTGTGTGTGTGTGTGTGTGTTTTATTTTAAACAGCCTTTTTTCCCCTCCCGGGGAAAATTTATTAGCCAATATTTCCATGCAAAAAGGAACTTGAGACACTTCAGCCTCAACTTTCCGCCTCTAATTCGGTAGGGACAATAGCAGGTGGAAGATGAAGATATGTAGTAAGAATTCCAACCTTCTCACCTTCCCGTTACAGCCGATCCGCTCTGCATTTCGAACGCAACGTCTTTGCGGGCGTTCTAAGTCCTTCGTATTCCGATGCAAGCCCCGCAGCGAACCTCGCCTTCTTCCCGACCGCCACCTCTGATTGTGGAGACTTCATAGAAGGTCTGGGATAAGGACTGTGTCGCTGCAGAGACCGTGTCTTGGGCTCTAGGGCACGCGGATGCAGGCTCCGCCCCTGGGGAGAAATTCACAAACTCACCTCAAGACTCCCAAGGTGTTTCCAAGTTCCCCTCCCACTTTCCTGTCCAGGTCACGCTGCCCCGGCCTCGGACAATGAGAGGGTTTGTCAAGATGCTCTTTGCACCTCTGGAAGTCCCGAGAGAAATGAGGGACTTTCGGCGGGGAACACGTTTTCGGAAGCTGTTAGGGGCTGAGGTTCTCGAAGCCCTGCTGGGCGCCAAAAGCACTGGAGAAAGGCGGGACTAAACGAAGGCGACCCTCCGCAGGGCGCGGGCAGCCTCAGGCACCGTACCCGGCGTCGGCTTCTTTCTTAATTTACTTCTTTGGGCACCTCTGCAATTTTTACGAATAGATGCAAACGCGGAACTTTCGAGCTGGCTCTGGGAGCGGCCCGTGGGCATCTAGGAATATGAAAGACGTCATCCGCTTGTAAATAACCTACCTCCCAGCCCCAGAAATTGGGGACGTCACAGGTGAGGCCGAATACCAGGTTCCGCACAAAGGTCAACCAAACTGAGCCGGGATGGCGAGTGACTGGGTCGACAAGATACCGTGGCCACTGGTTCCCTCCACGCGCGACAAGTGGGCTCGTGACAGCGTCCTTGTGCCTTCGATTTGTCCCGGAGCCCTCCCCTGCCTTTTTGATCTCAAACTCACCCGTAACGGGGCTAGGAATTGGGGCGAAGGGGACAACCTAAAGTGTCGTTGGCCCGGAGGAGAGGGTCTCAGCGCCTGTCACCCCGGGAAGCCTAGGGTCCTTTCCTGCCCGAGAGGCTGCAGGTGGGGGAGGAAAACCCCGCCAGCTCCAGGGTGCGGGATTCTGCTCCTCCCACCTGAGAGCCTCCCCTGGTGTCCCACGTTCCAGTCGCTGTGACTGCCCTGGCCACGGTCGCAGAGTAAGCAGGAACCCAGTCCTTGGCCCGCGTGCCCTCCTCTTCCCTTGAGAGTCCTTGAGCTCAGCAGGAAGCCACCGTCGGCGTGTGCACCCTCAGGTAAAGTCCAGTTTGTATCCCCCCCCCCCCAGAAAAAGGAAATGGAGGTAATCCCATGTCTCCCACCAACTGCAAACCCAAGTATACCTGCACCCAAGAGCGTGGAATTAATTTGCACGCTGAATGGCTGCTGTTTAAAAAAGGGTCTTTTTAGCAGCTCTCCTGGCGAGTATTTTAAAACACGACTCTGCTCCACATCAGCTCTGTCGTCGGCACCTGTCAGCGACCAGCAGACAAGCTGAAATTCCCCTTTCAGCTGTCACTGGCGATGACACCCACATCTATCACTGGCGATGTTTTGTTAATTTAACCTCGAGACTTCCCTGATTATCCGCATAATCCGTCCTCAAATCCCCTCGTTGTCACTGAATTTTGCTGACTCAGGGGACTTGGAAAGCACTCACCTATTTTGTGGGGGATGGGAAAGCCCACAGAAAAGCCTCCTGCAAGGGGAAGGAGCAACAGCCCCCGCTCTCCAACGTGAGAAAAGACCCCAGCAGCCAAAAGCGGATGCAAATATTTACTTAACTTTCCTGGGAGTCCAAAGGTACCCGGAGTGTGTGTGTGTGTGTGTGTGTGTGTGTGTGTGTGTGTGTGTGTGTGTGAGAGAGAGAGAGAGAGAGAGAGAGAGAGAGACAGAAGCAACGATTAAATAACCCTGCTTTGGTGATCCAAGCCCACTTTCAAAATCCAAAATCCTAAGCATTGCTTCAGGATCTCCCAATCGGTTTCTAAGACAGGGCACCTGGTGGCGTTTAGTTCATTAAAGTGAGATTAGGAAGACAGTTGCCTTTCAATAAATACGTTAAATCTAATGGCTCTCAAATCTGGCTGCACAATAGTCTCACTTGGGGTGCCTTTAAAAAAATACCGATGCATCTCCTTCTCCACTGCCCTGATCAATTAAATATATGTCTCTGGGGAGGAAGGGTGCTTCAGTACATTTTTTAAAGCTCTCCAGATAATTCTAATATGTGACTAGGGTTGAGAGCCTCCATAAGGCTCACATCGGTGGATAAATTGCTATGCGTTAATTTAATAGGAAATGAGCTTCTAGGGACAAATTATTTGCCTGGCAGAGCTTGACCCTCTGATTTTTTTCCCAAGCAAATACTTTCTAATTCTCACTTGAAGTTAATTCTTCCCTAAACTTTGCGTCAGATAGAACTTGCTCTCTACCTCTCAAATTCAACTACAAAATATTTTTAAAGCCACACAGTAGTGACACAAATGAGTTATTCACATATGATGGAGAATACTTGTTTATGTGCTATGAGATAGTTGAGTGGACCATATATTACCACAGTTCTTGAAATCATAGCTGTTGAAACAAAAGTGTTCTATTCTTTCAGTGATTAAACATGCTCTCTTCTGCTTATTTTGTGGTATGTTTTGTAAGATTAGAGGCTAAAAGAACTTTTTGCATATTTTCTCCATTCTCTTCCCACTTCAATATCCCCCACTCAACCCCATGGAGATGTGGTATTTCTAAACCAAAGATAATCCAATTTTACATGCACAGAACTTTTTTTAAAAAGAAAAAAAAGGAAGTGTGCACATTCTTCCTCAGCTCCTAGGAATATTCTTGGAAATGAAACATTGAACATTCTTACTTCTCCAAGTGTATTTTATAATCAGAAGTTGTGAATTTATCACAGAAACAAATTTGCTTTTCTTTGGCATATTTTAGTCTGCATAAGAGTACAGAAGGCTTAGAATCAAACCTGATTGAAGGAAAACAATGCTGATATATATTACAAAGCTTATCTTATATGGAAAATCAAAAGAGATATCTAGCAGAGGATAAATGCAATCTCTTACACTTTCTTCATTTACATAACTTCAAACTAAGATCTGGCTGCAGTCATTTCTAACACTCATTTCAGAAATAGTTACTACGGTAAATATTAGCTACTCCTCAAACTCACGCTATAACAAATACAATTTTAAAAAACATGATTTGAAAACAAGAAGTGTAATGCATATTTAGCAAGCATGCAGTTCATTGTCCCTAATGTGAATTTCATTATCTTTGTATAATAGCAGAAATGTGAAATACAAATATCACCTAACAGAAATTCAATGATTAAAGAGGGTGCGAGTTGAATCACAGAATAACTGGAGGGTTGCTCAGTTATCAAGATTTTAAAATTATCAATTCTATGAAGAATGATTTATTAAAATGGCAAAGATTGAATACTTAATAAAACAGAGAGTAACAAATAGTAAGAAATTTAATAGATCTTGTTCTCATGTTGGAAATTCCACTGCAATGTGCTTTAGTCCCAGTTACACAGGTGCTGCTAGCCTTGGAGGCGACAATGTAGACACGTTCACAAAGATACCTTAAAATGTCACACAGTGCAGAAATGATTAAAAATGGAGGCCAAATATCCTTTAGTCTCTTTAGTGGTTCCTGTCACTGAATATAAAACAGTGAGAGTTCCACTGTTATAGTGCTAATTTTTCTCAAAACTCAAGGTGCTTTCCATAATATTTTTTCACCTTTCAAAAATTCTTATGAAGTAAAGGAAACTGTTTACCTCAGCTTCCCAGGTTAGTGTGAGTCTGGGAAGCCAAGTCACCTAACATTCATTCCAGAGTGTCCTTTCAGCAGACTCAACAGAACTTTTAGCAGTCACTCACTATGTGACCAGAACTGGTTAAGGCTTTGTGGATCAAATGGATGACCAGATAGACAAAGTTCCTGTTCATGTCTTTACATTCTGGTTGCAGGGATTGCTGAAAAATGCAACTGATAAGTAAGACTACTGCAAACAGCATAACACTTATTAAATAAAGTAAAGCTTATTGAGAGAGTAAAGCTGGGATAGATATCCCCTGAGATTAGAGTGGTCAGGGCAGACCTCTCTGGGGAGGTAATATTAGACCCTTGGAGACCTAAACGAAAGAAAGGTCCATATAGGGCTTTAGTTTGCAAAGAGTTTTCATGAATTTATCCTCTTATGTGTACAAATCTTCACATCAATTCCATGAGGTAGGTGGGGATGATACTCTCCACCCCTAATTTTATAGATGTTGAGCCTGAGACTCAAAAGAGGTTAAATGAGTTTTCATGGCCTTTCTGACTAAAGAGAGAACGAGTATTCAGTCTTATACCTCCTGGTTGCAGATACTGACCCCAAACCCAATATGCTGTCTAGATGTGCATGTTCTTCACTAAATCCTATTGTATTCAGAGGCTGAATGTTTAGTTCATCATCTGCATCATAAGTTTCTTTCACCGATAACTCTAACCTGTAGTCCCAGAACCTTGGCAGAACACTGCACATGGGGACCAGGAGTTTCCGACCAGGTACGAAGACCAGGCCAGGCTGGGTTTTTTGTAGTGACTCTACTTGGTAGTTCTCACTCATAAGGTGAAGAGGTGTCCAGGATTGAATCAAGCTTTTCCAAGATGATGAAAGTAACCATGGGAAGGGAGAAAAACACTTCATTTTCACCAGGAGTCCTCTAGACAACTCACTTGTTATTTGAACAATTACTTCTTAAACTCCTGCTTTGTCTAAGGTACTGGTGTGCAGGTCCTTCCAAGTGAATAGAAATGATTAAATCAAATCTGCTGAATGAAGAGAGGTGAGAGAGACACCTGAATACCAGATAACCATGAGAAACCAGACAGATATTTCCCATGATCACATCCTGTCACTCAATTCCTGGTAACAAAATCAGAAATTAGCAATCAAGCATGGTAAGCCACAGAGAATATCTCACCGTGTTTAGATACTGAGCCACTAAGTGTGTCTCTTTGATTTAAAAGTATTCTGACTCAAATTTTAATTAGATGAAATTTACACATGCAATCCATAAGAGAAGCAAAATGTGGCTGTTGTTGTCACTGAGGTGATTCAAGAATGTATTTCCCAGTTATGAGGAATCTTTTAGGTTACATTATTGGTGTATTTTTCTGGAACACAAATTAAAAAGAAAGCTGGTGCCCAAAGTAACTTTAAACAGACTTCCAGGTTGCCAGTTTAACACACATAAAAAACTCATGTGTGTGTACACATGTGCAAATCGTTACATCCACAAAGCCAAGTTGTTGCTAGTATGCATATATTTTATACGTGATACATCTTTATACATATACTTAATACGCACATATATACATGTGTAGCTATACTTCTGCAACTTAACAGTTTTTAGTGGAAACAGAATTTCAGCAATGAAGGTAAACAAAGAATGAATAAAAGGTAAAAATGGATATAGAAGTAAAACTATAGAGACATGGGGGTATAAATAAATTAAAACTAATCTCTGAAAAGCGATTTTTAGCAATAGAAACCTAAAAACATTTCCTAGAAAGCAGAACAAAATCTAACAACAGAGTTCAATTTTAGTAGATGTTGTGGTAGTAATATGTAAGTTACTTCTCTCTTTGGAATACAACAGATCTCACTGGGCTCCTATTAACTCCTAGAAATAATCCCACGAAACACTCATTTTAGCAATGTGCATTTCCATGTGTGAGTTATTTCTCGCTCAGCCCCATTTAAAAATGTGAAATTTGGATTTAGATGGGGACATATTTAAAAAAGAAAAGTGCCATACAAGTAATGGAGCACTTTTACCATGAAATTAATGTCATAAAATAGATTTTTCTATAAATACCTCTTTTTTATTATTAAGACAATGCAGACATAAAACACTTCATACTGTAGTTTCTACATTGCAGCCAACCCACTTATCAACGGCCAATAAATTACTTCACCCCTATGATAGATAAAAATGCTCAATTCAAGTTCAATTAATAGAATAGTGTCAGGATATCATGCAGACAGCTTGCATAAATACTCGAGGAATAACAGCATACCTTCAGTAGCTTCTGCGATTTTTAAGCATGAAAACTTTTTCTTATTCCAAATTTCAAAAGATGGAATAAAGAATGTTTTCATATAAAATACATTTGGAACACTTTTCCTTCTTTAAAAAAGGCATCTAACCCACTTGCAACATACACTGGTAATTCATCTTTGTAATTACAAAATGAGATAGATATGTATTCTTTTTCAACTCATGTGACTGTATGTGAACATTTCAGTAATTCCCACAATATCAAACAGCTAAATTCAAAATCATATTATACTTTCTAATATGTGTATATGATATATATGTTTGTAATCAAAGGCAGAAAGACCTTCAGTTAGTTGATTTCATCTTTGGGCACTATTTTATATTTTATCAGACAATTAAGAGTCATTAGTTATTTCACAGTATAAAATATTGAATCAATTACCAACAGGCCTTTATTTTCTGCTCCTAATTTCGAAATGTATTTGGACACGAGGTATGGAACTAATGTCACTGCTTATCAAACAACTTTTCTGGAAATCTTAATGCACAAAAATTTCCAGATTTATATATTGAAAAATAAATTATATCTTAAATGAAATTGAGAAAAAATGGCGAGGGAAAGGAGAAAATCTAGTTCATATTCGGCGTGAATATCTTTCAGTATCTTCCAGGTGGGGGCAACAGTAAGTCACTTTTGAGAGAAGGGAGAACAGGCTCTTAAGCTCCCTGAGTCCAGTTAACAGAAGATGAAATGACTTCCTGGCAGTAACACCGTGAATAAAACAACCACAAGCTTCCAGGAGATGAGACTTCTGGGCTCTGCTCCAGACAACACCCGGTCGTGGGTAAGTAGGGCTCACCGCCCTGGGCGCGCCACCACCTCTGCTGCGCGGAGTCCGCCCCGAGCGCGCACGCGCGCCGTGCACCTGCCCCAACGAGCCCAGCTGCGGCCCGCTGGTTCTTCCGTCAGCTCCGGCTACGCCCGCGCTGTGCCTGCAGGGAGTGTCCGTCACTCTCAGCTCTCAGGGTGTCTCCCTTTCCAGGACCGCTAGGAAGTAGGGTACCCTTTACCTCTCATGTTTACATCCCTTTCATTCTTCCTCCGGGCAATTCAAATCCATTCACAGCCGCCACAGATCCACTTGCGCGCGCGCAGCTGCACCTTTAAAGAAACTCTCAAGTCCTGGCAGCCAGAACACCCGCTTTCGGGCGGGGCGGCGGGGCTCCCCCTCCCCTTGCCTCCTCTCTGCAGATCTTTATGCTCTGGGGAGGGATGGCCGCACACTCTGGCGAGGACGAAGGTGATGCATAACGCAGAGGTCAGTTTTGCACAGTTCGAGCAAAAGGGACCCCCCACCAGCATCCCCACCTGGTCAGTTTCCCTCTCTGGTACCCCTCGAAGGACGAGGAGTAACAGAAGCCCGAGGGACAGAAAACTGAGGCCCCGCGGTGGCGGAGTTGGAAGGGGATGTGAGTCCGGGAGAGTCCGGGGGCCGCAGGGAGAGGGCGCAGAAGCTCGAGCGCACCGAGCCAGAGGCCCCCTCTTCCGTCGCGCGGGGCTGGAGGTGCAGGCGCCAGGTCCGCGGCGCGGCCCGGCTACGTGTCGCTCCTCCGCGCGCCGCCCGCTGCCGCCCGTACCCGCGGGCCGCCGCCGCCGCCGCCGCTGCCCCCCGCCGAGTCCGCGGCCGCACCCTCGGGCCGATACTTGAGCCAGCAGATGACCCAGGTGACAACGACCGAGAAGAGCGCCAGGATGCTGGCCACCGACAGGCAGATGGGCCCCACGGGCGAGGGCGAGGGCGACCCGGTGGCCGGTGCTTCGCCAGGGGGCGCCCCGCCTCCGGGGGGTCCCCCGCCGCCGTAGTGGTTGACGAAGATGAGGCCGGTGAAGAGCAGCACCACCATGGAGAGGAAGGAGAAGACCACGCACACGCAGCCAGCGGTGAGCGCCGCGCGCTTGCAGTTCTGGCAGCTGTCGTAGGCGCCCGGGGCGCGTAGGCCGGGGCGGGCGCGAGACCCGGGGGCCTCGTCCTCGGCGTGCGGCGGCGGCTGCGGAGCGGCAGGAGAGGGCGGCGGTGGCGGGGCCGGGGTGGGCGGCGGGGTGGCTGCGGGCGCGGGCAGGCGCGCGGGCAGCGGCGGGAGGCGGTCCTGAGGCAGCGGGTCGTGCGCGGCGCGCAGAGCCAACGGGAAGGCCTCGGCGAGCTTGGTGTTGTTGGGCAGGCCGTGCACGCGGCTGTCGGGCAGCGGCGTGCGGTGGCGGCACACAGGGCATGCGATGGCGCCGGGCGGGCCAAGCCAGGGCGGCGGGCGCGGCGGGCGCTCAGGCGCGGCAGTGGCGGCAGCGGCGGCGGCGGCGGCGCGGAGCTGCAGCTGGCTCAGGCACTCCTGGCAGAAGGTGTGCAGGCACGCCAGCAGCTTGGGCGCACGCCGGTCCGCGTCGAAGTAGTTGTAGCAGATTTTGCACTCGTAGTCCTCGAGCTGAGGGAGGCCAGGGACCGTCTCCGCGGCGTCCCGGGCTGCTGCGTCCCCGCAGTCCGGGGATCCCTCCACGGCGACCCCAGTTCCCTCCCGGCTCCTGGAGCTGCCGCTCGGGCTCTGCTGGCTGCCGCCGCTGTCGCTCGCCAGCGCTGCCATGGCATGATCCGCCCCTCATCGGGGGCTAGGTGAGGTGCCTTACTCCCCCTGCGCCGCCGCCGGGGCTGCGGGCGGGGAGGAGGCGCTTCTGCCTCCCCCACTCTGACTGCTGTCGCCTGGCGGGGGAGGCACCACTGGCTGGGCCAGGCGGGGGCGCAGCGGCGACCGCCTCCCCCTCCCGCCTCCCCGCCCCCAGCCCCCGGCGCGTGCACCGCGGTCCTTCCCCGTCCCTGGGCGCCTCAGCAGTCCCCTTCGGCACCCTCAACGCAGCCTTCCCGGCAGCTTTGGATATAGGCTTTAGTTGGACTTGGAATTGGGAGTTGAGTGCGGCCCGGTGGCGCGCGGTAAGGAGATTTGGGGTGCGGCTGCTTTATAAAGATGTTGCTTTTCACCCCAGCAACTCCCCGCCCCCCACGCAGGTTCGTGGCAGGAAACCGGGTCCTGAGTTTTCCTTCTTTCTCTTCCTCGGCACCACCTCCCCACCGGTGTGGTTCTGTTTATCCTCCCCGGTCTGGGGCTGGGTCTTTGGCGAAGCCTCCTTGTCACCCATCCACCCCCAAGCCAGAGCTCACCAATGATGTAATGTGGGACCCGTGCAGGGAGGGGAAGTGGCAGCCTCAGCGGCCTGGCAGCGGCGGTTCCTTCTCTTCTTGAAAATTGTGATCTCATCTCTCCATCCGAGGGAGACAAAACAGCCATCACCAAGCCGTTCACGCTTTGTGCTTTTGTTAGCGGAGCCCCGGAACCCCTGCAGCGCGCATCTCAGGGTGCAAACCGAGCCCCAGCCTTTTCCTTGTATATCATTTGGAGCAAATTTTTGAACTGAACAGTATTTCTCTCTCTCTCTCTCTCTCTCTCTCTCTCTCTCTCTCAGAAATATTGCCGAAATTTAAAGAAGGACGAAGACACAAACTCATAGGTGAGTCTTGCTGTTTTCCTGCCGCTGACCACAGCAAATCGAGGTAGCTATTTCGTTGGTGCACAGGAGTTCACAGAGGCAGACGGGGGCGGGGCGGGGAAGTTGTCAAACAGATTAACAGACTTTCAAAGTGCGGCTCAAACCGAGTTCCTGGGCTCCCTCACTCGCTTGGTCCACTTAAACTTTTAACATACACATGCAGGGAGCTGAAACTCCAGGGGCAACGTGGGACAGGTCTTCTTGATTTAATCAAAACAAATAGATCAGCTGGACCGGGTAGCAAGAAACAGCTTGCTTAAGGAGCACTGAATAGGTGACAGGAGTGGGGGGGGGGGCTTGAGGGCGGACCATCTGAGGGGTGTTCAGATATTCCTAACCAGAAAGTCTGCGCCCGGATTTCTCAGGTTGGGCCTCACCCTACGAGCAGGGAACCTACCTTCCTCCTCAACACAAGAAAAGATGGCTGTGGAATGTTCTGGATTCCCACAAGTTGGGAATGTTCCTACTTTTTCTTCAGATTCTCTGCAGACGACAGCAAGATGCCCCCAGGGAATGTTTGCGAAAAGGATGAATGGATTGAAGCAAGCTGAAGAAAAAGAAGGAAGGAAAGAGAGACACCAGTAAATCACCAATGTAAAGAAAAGAGGTGGAGAAGAGGACTTACACATATTGTTTCTATGACATTTGAAAATAATTTTTTTACTCTATACTAATGGTGAATGTAATGTCTTCAGTTTAAGGGGCTTTAAGTGAAGTTCATTAAAACCCACTACTTTCCATTTTCTAGTTTTAAATTTTGCAATTATTACTTGGGGTGATGATATTATTCTTTCAATTTTTTTAAGCATTTCACTTTGTGATGGGGTGGTGATCAGAGAGGGTGGGTTCAGGGGACATCAGGAGAAGGCCTTAGTCTGGTCTTGGAACATTGCAGAGTGTCACAAACCTGACTGTGTAGGAAGTGGCTTTCTGTCCTCTCTCCCTCAGTTAGTTGTATGACTGTGAAAAGCCTGAAAATGTGCGTTTATGCACAGTGTTAAACTGGGCTCTTGTGCTTTAAGCTCTGAGTAGCTGTGGGCTGAGAAGAGACCTAATGCTGATGTAGGACATATTGAAAACAGAATATCCGGGAGAAGAGAAGCACAGGAACAGGAGGGCTAGTGTGACCTCCACACCAAGTGACCAAAAAAAGTTCTGAAGGCCTATATGTTTGCATATAGTGTGCATATGGGCAAAACATTTAAGATTTTGAAGTTTCACTTTATTATGCATCCTCACTATTCAATGACAGATTTGAGGAACAGAGTGTAGGATTACACTGGGGTTTCTCTAGCTCAGCAAAATTGACATTTGGAGCTGGCAGTCTTTGATGCCAGGCTGTTCTGGGCATTGTTTACTGTTTAGCAGCATCTCTGGCCTCTACCTACTTGATGTCAGTAACATCCGTCCCCATTGTGACAACCAGAAATGTCCCCAGTTGAGGTACATGGAGCTACAACAAAGCCACGGATTTGGTTAAAGTGAAACTGAAACCCGTAATCTCTTACAGCTCCTGACTAGTGTAAGATAGCATTCTCAAAGAATTTAGCGGCTACAGGCATTTCTTCTATAGCTCACCGTCATTTAGATGCCACTGAACTCTCTTTGAGAGATCCAGTACAGTTTTTGTCAATAACACATCCTGCTGTTGGAGTCATAAACAATTGTCAGAATTTGGTTAACAATGCTAAAATTTACACTGTGTTTGGATAGGTTTTTCAGAGGAACCTGAATCTTCAATTATTTTATAACCTGGGGCCAATCATTCATTTTTAGGACTCGTAAAAATGTCATGTGGGGCTTCTGTAGGTACAGGGCATGACATAGCTAAAGAGTGTGAGTTTGTGTGATGCAGGCCATAGGCATCCTCCTTACTAGACTGTAAGGCCAGTGCTAGTGTTACCTGCAGGTTTAAGTAGTAAAGCTTGGAAATTCATGTAGAAATTAGAGTTCCACTTTGGAGAAAGATGTGTTGAAAGAGGTAAGAGACAAAGAACTCAGTATAGGTTGGGCGTCCGTAATCTGAAAATCTAAAATCCCAAACTTTCTGAGCACCAACATGATGCCACAAGTGAAAAATTCCACACCTGACCTCATGAGATGAATACATAAATTAATATTTTATAATATTAAAAATATTATATAGGCTGGGCATGGTGGCACACGTCCATAATCCCAGCACTTTGGGAGGCTGAGGCCAGTGGATCACTTGAGGTCAGGAGTTCGAGACCAGCCTGGCCAACGTGGTGAAGCCCTGTCTCTACAAAAAAATACAAAAATTAGCCAGTTGTGGTGATGGGCACCCATAATCCCAGCGACTTGGGAGGCTGAGTCAGGAGAATCACTTGAACCTGGGAGGCAGAAGTTGCAGTGAGCCAACATTGCACCATTGCACTCCAGCCTGGACGACAGAGACATTCCGTCTCTCTCTCTCTCTTTCTCTCCCTCTCCCCCCATATATATATATTATATATTTATACATATAATATATGCATGTTATATATAATATATATACACAAAGCGAGACTGTATTATATGTATAATATATACATATATATAATATACATAGAGTGAGACTGTCTCAAAAATATATATACATATTATATATATATATGTATTATAAAATTACCTTGTTATATATGTAAGGTGTATATGAAACATAATGAATTTAATGTTTAGGGTCCCATCCCTCAAATGTCTCATTATGTATGTGCAAATATTCCAAAATCTGACTATCTGAAACACTTTTGCTCCCAAGCATTTCAGATAAGGGATACTCATCCTGTATTCATGTCAATATTTGAACTGACTGTGCAAGAATCTTGTTCATCCTTGAACATGTTAGACATCCACTGTTTGGTGAATTGTTTTATTTTTGAAGATTTGCATATAAATGGGAGACAGCTATGCTGTCAGGCAATCTCTTACGTAGATTCCCTCTACTGACCACCTAAAGTGAGAGAATGCGTTAGTTTTGGAGTTACTGTCTCACAAAGGACTTAGTGGTGAAAAAGCATTCACACAGAGTGTGAGTTGACAGTCCTAAGTCCAAATCCTAGTTCTGCTGCTCATCCTTTGTGTAGTATTAGATGTGCGACTTAGCTTTTCTGTGCCTCGGTTTCCCAAAGTGTAAAATGAGGATAAGGGTGGTTACTGTACAAGCCCATTGTGAAGATTGAATATGCTGTACACATAACATACAAAGACTCCTAGGCTGTTGCTAACATTCAATATTATCTATGACAGGGATTCCTATACCTGATCTCAGTAATTCTTACGAAACCCTGTGAGAGAGGCTTAGAAAACTTATGTAATCAGGCCAAGGTGACACAGACAATAGGAGCAAAGTAGTTTTCATGCAACTCTTCTGCTATTTCAGAGCTAGAGATACAGGTAGTATCTCAGTCAAGAAGACCAAGCAGAGGCCTGACCTATGAATTTAATCGCACATTATTGATCTGCTAGTTGCAATTAAAAAGCCCTGCATAAAACATCAGGACAAAGTGAAATCTCACTGGAGGCATTGGAGGAATATATATATATAGGCAGCTCGTGCCACTCAGAAGCAGGTAGTAGATGACTCAATCAAAGCCTTGGCATTTTAAAATAGAAACTGGGTCAATTCAGTCAACATTTATTGAGGTCCTATTCCAGAAGCCATTGGTGCTGGTGATAATATACCTGGCCTCCTGGACTCAATAATTTAAAAAATGAGCCAAGAGGAGCCTGAGGAGGCAGGCTGATTTTATGTGATGTAGTAATATCCTGGAGGGAATCCTAGAACAGAAAAAGTAAGAGCGTTAGGGAAAAGCTAAGGCAATCTGACTAAAGCATGGACTTCAGTAAATAGTAGTGAATCAACAATCAGATTGTCATAATGTATGAAAATGGGTAAAACTAGATGATGGGGATACAGATGCTCATTATACTACTCTCTTCCATGATACTTAAAAATGTTCATGACAGTCATCAATCTTAGAGACACACTCAAAATTGGCATCATTTGTATAAATATAGCACAAATAATGCTTATATTTTTGAAGACCTCACTAAGCACATTGGTTTTGAGGGATTGGAGAAAATGATCTGGAATCTAGCTCTTTTGTTCATTTTTTTTTCCCCTTCAGTCTTTTTTTGTTCTCTGCCTTCTTTAAGAAATCTACAGCGGGGTGCAGTGTCTCATACCTGTAATCCCAGCACTTTGGGAGGTAGAGGTGGGAGGATCACTTGAGGACAGAAGTTCAAGGCTAGCCTGGGCAACATAGGGAGATTGTCTCTACAAAAAACTAAAATATTAGCCAGGTGTGATGTTGCATGCCTGTAGTCCTAGCTACTCAGGAGGCTGAGGCACGAGGATTCTTTGAGCCCTAGAGTTCGAGGCTGCAGTGAGCTATGATCACACCACTGCACTCTAGCTTGGACAGCCGAGCAAAACACTGTCTAAAAATAAAAAAGAAAAGAAAAGAAAAAAGAAATTAAGGAAGGCCAAGGGTGGTGGTTCACCTTTAATTGCAGCACTTTGGGAGGCAGAAGGGGGAGAATCACTTGAGGCCAGGAGTTCAAGACCAGCCTGGGAAATACAGCCAGCCCCTATCTCTACAGAATATAAAAATAGGCAAAAATTAGCCAAGCGTAGTGGTGTGCACATCTGGTCCCAGCTATGAAGAGAGGCTGGGGTGGGAGGATTCCTTGAACACAGGAGTTCAATGCTACAGTGAGCCACAATTGCACCATTGCATCTAGCCTGGGTGACAAAGCAAGATTTCATCTCAAAACAAAAACAAAACAAAAAGAAATCAAGGAAGCACTGAAGACGACGGGGACCCCAGGTGTCACCTTTTTGAAACAGGAAGGAAAATCAAGGCTGAGCTCACTGCCCAGCACAAGTCCAAGGAGCCCTTCTCTTCCTCTCTCCATTCTCTGCAGGCACTGCTCAGGCCTCAGAGCACTGCCCTTATCACTCCAGACATTAGTGATATCCTTGCTCCAAAACCCAGACTGCATGGACCACAGCAGATAAACAAGAAATATGGGAGCTTATCAATGCTATATAATAAATAGAATAATGAGAAAATGGCAGAATGGAAAATAGGAGCTCTTCCATAGTGGATTTTGTAAGAATTACTAAATCCACTGTAGAAGAAATACCTGTTTAAATGCCTGTTTCTAATCTATACATGGTCTTTGAAGCTTTTTGCTTTTCAGAGTTTTAAACTATGCAGGTGTGGAAGGCTGGACCCTCTCCTCATCTGGGAAAATGATTGCCCCACTTTAATCTCTGGAAGCCATTCATGAGCTTATGCCTTCTATGCCAACCAGATACAGGCTCAATTCTAAAATAGCTTTTTCCTCCTAACATTTGCTACACTTTGTATGGCAGAGGCAAGATCAAATGGAAATGCATGCAATGTACTTTGCTTCTGAAAGATCATTCTGCAGCCTGTGACTCCTTTTTTTTATTTTTTGAGATGGAGTCTTGGAGTCTTGGTCTGTTGCCCAGGCTGGAGTGCAATGGCATGATCTCAGCTCAGTGTAACCTCTGCCTCCCAGGTTCAAGCAATTTTCCTGCCTCAGCCTCCCAAGTAGCTGGGACTACAGGTGCCCACCACCACACCTGGCTAATTTTTGTATTTTTAATAGAGACGGGGTTTCACCATATTGGCCAGGCTGGTCTGGAACTCCTGACCTTATGATATGCCCACCTTAGCCTCCCAAAGTGCTGGGATTATAGGCATGAGCCACCACGTCTGGCCAC